GTTAATTGAATAAATGAGACAAGGCTGCTTAATTTCTCACTTTCTCTTTATTTGGTGATCGACTGGATTATGAAGACCTCTACATCTGAGAGGAAACATGGAATACAATGGATAGCTCGTAACCAATTAGATTTGGACTACACAGATGAACTGGCCCTTCTATCCCATACACACAAACAAACGCAGGTGAAGACAACCAGTATAACAGAAGTCTCTGCATTAGTAGGTCTCAACATACACAAGGGAAAAATGCAACATCCTCAAATACAACACAGAGAACACCAGCTAAATCACATTTGATGGAAAAGCTCTTGAAGATGTGGAATTGTTCACGTACCTGGGTAGTATCATTGATGAACAAAGAGGATCCAATGAAGATGTAAAGGGAAGGATTGGCAAAATAAGGGCAACATTCTTACAGTTGAAGAACGTATGGGAACCAATATCGAAGTCAGAATCTTCAATACGAATATGAGGACAGTTCTACTATATGGGGATGAAACTTGAAGAACTACCACAACGATCGTCAAAAAGGTACAAGTATTTATAAGCAATTTTCTACTTAAGATAATGAAATTCCTTAGGCCGGGCACAATCAGCAACAGCCTTCTAGGGGAGAGGACAAACCAGGAAATTAGGAAAACACGCTGGAAGTGGATAGGACATACATTACAGAAATCACCAAACTGCATCACGAGGCAAGCTCTAACTTGGAATCCCGAAAGGAAACAAAAAAGAGGAGGGCCAAAAAAACACATTGTGTCGGGAACTGAAAACAGACGTGAAAAGGATGAATAACACTCGGAAAGAACTGGAAAAGATTGCCTAGGACAGAGTTGGATGGAGAATACTGGAAGGCTGCCTATTCTCCTCCATGAGCGGTAACAAGCGTAAGTAAGTAAATAGGTAAGTAATATTTTTGGTGGATAAATTACAGTGTATACTGTATCCTAATGTGTAATATACATTTTTTTATCAGACTGTAAGTGAATAAACTCATAAATGGTCTGCACTACTTATTTATTAGGTTTTTCAATAAATTAATGAACATAATGTAGAAATTTCTACGACTGACAGCAGTCGATGAGCTATCAAAAGATAAGAGAACTAATAAAACTGGATAGCGATTTCGTCCTAACTATGTACCTCTCTTCGGAGTCCACCTAATGCGTCATATAAAGTCGATCTGTAGTTAGGTCAAAATATTCAACTCATTGTATTGGAAAACAAATTTACATACTTAAAACTGTAGTCGTTTCGTGATGAGACGCACTCATCAGCTATTGCTGTCTGATAGGATTAGCCTGACTATAGAAAAAGGGTAAAGTTATTTCCACGATCATCCCGATTACATTTCATCTATGTTTCAACATTTTATTTTACCATGCTGAGTCATCCTTTCACAATGATAATTTCCCTATCCATCTTTTGACGAATACGTAAGCCATTAACAATCAAACGATTATTAAACTTTCCTTGTTTTAAAAAATCTTTTTAATACCTTTGTTTATTTAACCTCACTGTCACCATGTATAACAAGTTTATCAACGGTATTATTATCATCCTGTAAAAATAAGTATATAGATTTACGATTGTACAGCTTTGAAAATGAATTCGCCGAAAAGAGAACTCTTCGCTGAACTAATCTTTTTTATTTAAAGTTATATGTCACTAATTCTCTTTATAACCAATCTTGCAGTTACTCAGTAGTGATTATACGATCATATTTGTTGTATCAAAGCATTTTATTCGATACTTTCTTAATTCTATTTACTAGACATGAGCAATGAGATCATGACAATTTTCAGTGTCGATAAGGCACACTAACGAAGCTTTACAAAACAAAACGAAAGATCTGTTACATGTTTTCTGGCTTTCTGGCTTTTTTGGGGAGTACTTATGTGGAACTTTTCCTTTTATATATATTTTGCTTCTACATATGCCTATATTTGAAATGTTTCTTGTAACTTACTACTACCAAATAACAATGAATTCCTATGTATATAAACATTCAAAACCCGCTAAGTTAAGCCTATCATCAGCAAGATATATGTATAATTGAATAACCTATTAGGTTTAAAACAAAAAGTCATAAAGTGAGTGTCAACACTAAGTTGCAGGTACACCCAGCTAATAAGTGTCGGATACGACGAAACGAGCGTTGGAGTGCACTGCTAGCCAATATCAAACTCCGCTTGAAAGTGATTGTCAGTTATGCATGCATTAGACAAACCCACTCAAAATAGAGGTACACCGAAAGAGACTTATCAATTATAGTTGTTAACATCAACAACGGGAGATATAAACAATCCTTACAAGTGAGTTAAGAACAATGATCAGTTCAAGTATAACCGTGATACATCATTTTTCTATGTGTAATACATTGTATTATCCATTATTTAGTAAACATGAAAAAGAAACAATACTTAGGAAAATTCCCCCACATTCATCTACATTTACAAAAATGATTTTTTTTATAATTCTTAAGAAGGTACCTACAACTGAAACAAAAAAATTATGTCATTTAATAAACGGCTGAATATATTTCCACTTCAATCTAAATTGTCTGGATTTAGTGAATGAATTTTATAACATTTTACATTTTTATTGCCATAGTATTAAAAACTGTCAGTTATAGATCATACTTGTAATACCAAAACTAGCCAAGACAGGAAATACTAAAAATTCATTCTAATTAGTTACAATACATTTTGAACGTTAAATAATTTATACAGTTTGAACAGTTGAGATCATGAGTCAATTGAAACTAGACCACTATAGAAAACCTGAAAGCACTGGACGGCCGTGTCGTCCTATTGTGTGACTCCTCAGCAGTGCACATCCACGACCCCACCTCGCAAGATTCGAACCTAGGAAATATCGGTCCCGCGAGTGAACGCTAGGTCCTAGGTTCAAATCCTGCCAGGCGGGGTCGTGTATGCGCACTGCTGAGGAGTCCCACAATAGGACGAAATGGCCGTCCAGCACTTTCAGGTTTTCCATGGTGGTCTAGCTTCAATCGACTCATGATCCCAACTGTTGAAATTACTACAATCTCCACAAAACCCCTTCTTATAAAGTTTGACTGAATTAGATAAGAACTTGGAATTGAACTGAAATAGATATATTTAAGCGGACTCAGCAGGTATTTTTTGAGTGATGCAAACACACAATTATATTTAGACTATTAAGTGAGAAAATACTCACATGTATTACACTAATCGAACTCTATGTTTATTGAAGTTAATTTAAATTAAGGAAAATTAATTCCATAATCAATATAGTAGGATTTGCAGAGTTTGTAGAAATTTCATAGTTTAAATCCTCAAGTGATCTTAGCTGGACCGGTTCGTCTTATTTTAGGACTCATCACTAGCAGCCTAGATGTTAGGTATTTACAGCCAGGGTGAAGGTTCTGTGTCCCATTCCAAAATGCAGATTCATAAATATGCTCCGCTGATTAGTCCCATGCAATGACGACGCAACTGTTCAGTCCTCTCAGGTTTTCAATGGTGGTCTAGCTAAGATGAGTTCGTGATTTAAAGTAAGAACATTTCACAATTCCAAATTAATAATAATTATGATTGCCATATCCCACTATATTTACCATTTCACATGTTTGCGTGAACACATAACTATAGAAAAGAATAAACGAACAACACGATCAAGGGTTATGGAATATGTGCATAGATGACTTCATAATCTATTAGTATCCATTGCTTCTAGAAATGTTAGAAGTAATCAACTATGTTCACTGATACCAAAACATATCATCAAAACAGGTCACAACATTGACCTCAACACAACTTTTAACATGTTGTACGAGAATTGTTACAAACAAGTTTTTCATTTGATAGAAGTTTTGGGTAATCGAGAAATTCAAACTTTTTTTATATATACATAAATAATTTCTTGTAACCTTAACTTTGTCCTGTTAATCTTTTAGTCACTTTATAGCTTAGAATGATCCGACAACTTTCTAACTTTTCCACATTATATTAGTTACGTGTTCTCTCCTATTTTCAATTTTTTTCCATGTTCAACTTATTTGAACTTGATTAGTTTTCATGTAAATAAATGCTGTGACAAGTATATATGACTAGATTGTTCGAAATGTATAGCTCAAATTAATACGATATGTCACTTGAATGCTACTATATCTGGTCGTCGCTGATTGTTATGTCGTAAACGCTTATCACTTATACTCGAAATGAGGCACCTCTACAATTCACACAGCGCGAAAGTAAGAACACAAAGACTGGTACAAGCGATGATTCATTGACTCTCAAAGCACGATAACGACGACTCTAGTCGAAGATACACTCATCAATATATTGATTCGTACACCCATTTTGATTAATAATTAGGATGAAATCACATATATAACAAATCACATACTGAGCATAATTCATGTCAATTGAATACAAATATATCATTTATTATACAGAATAGAATATCATACGAGAAAAGAAAACAAGTACTACACTGTATAGCCATCACGTTGAATCAGAACGGGAGTGATGTTGAGTAAATCAATCTAATTTTAACTTTTTTCCCATCAGATCACCTCCCTTTCTTTTTTTGAAGACTCACAGTTGAAATCCATCTTTAAATTTTATGACTTTATATTTTTTATCCCATCCTCGTTGCCACTGATGATTCTTTCCAAGTAAACACTTCTCCAGCTTTTCTTCTAATTTGCGACGGTGAAGTTCAATGTTCGAGTGTCATAATCGTAAACCGTATTCTGCGTTAATCAAATAGCGAAATTAACACAAATATAATAAATTTCTTTAAAATCAACCTTATCTTCTTGTTGTTTAAGTCAAAAAGGAACTAATAGTGTCAAATTGATGAATATTATGTAATTGAATATTTCATTATTAAATAACTTAAACTATACAAACTGACCAATCAGAGAATAATATTTCATACCCAGTTTAACCAATCAGAATCAAGTGTTTTCTTCAAATAAATAACCGATACAATTATTTATTTAATTTATTTCATAAATCATAATTTAGGATACTTTACCAATTATATTCTTGGCAATTATTATGTAATACTTCTAATTCATGAATATTATGACCAGAATGTAATGCGGTTACCTATTCTTTTAAACAGGAATAATGAACAAAAACTTCTTATTAAACAATTGAATAACAATTTGATTTCATTTGAAAACATTGAATCATCAATTACTAATTACTTGAATCAAACAATCAAACTATTGAAACTAAATATTTTTATGATGGATCATTTAGAACAAGATAATATTGAAGCAATTAAATCGAACACTTTATTGAAATCAGAAGAAACACATTCTATATCAAAACATTCAATGGTTCCATTGTCTCATTTAGTCAATACAAAACAAGTTAAAACAGATCCATTAGGTCTTGTTATCGCTAAACGTAAACGTAAAGAAATGGCTGATCCACAAATAGCCGAAGCAATATTGTCTGCATCGAAATTACCACCACCTATTGTACCAGAAACTACAAATTCAGTAGATGTTCCAGAAGAACTGTTACAAATATTAGCATTGGCTAAAGATTACGATAAAGATGATACAGAAAATATTGACTTTTTCAAGAATTACTCACTTATACAACCTAGAAAACCATTAAAGACTGAAGTGAATAATGTGACATACATGAAACGTGAACGTCTATGCAAGTTATCATCATTGAAAAAGTATTTCATTACTAAAGATTTCATGGAGGACACTGAAGAAACTCGAACTTTGGTACAAAATACTGTTCATACAGATGAAGAATGGTTTATGGAAAGTTTTTTACATGTATTGTGCATTTTACTGATCATAATTACATTACCATTGTCTTTGATATTTTGTTTAAAGGTGAGTTATTCATTCAACTATTTTCATAATGAATACAATGACTGTATTTCAACAAATGCTATTTACTTATTAGTTCACTTTGTTTGAATCCAACCTATATTTGGTTTCATGGCATTTGAATTTTTGATTTGGTTAGTTGAATGACTTGAATGGATTTGACGTTTTCAAGAAGGGGAAACTGAAGTTTCTAATCTCAGATTATTTACATTCTAAATAAAATATCTAAAACCAGCTACCAGCTTTATTTCCTCTTACAGTCATAGATTTTCTTTCTGATAAGACCAATTGTTCAAAATCAATATAGAATAATAATCGTTACTTGATTTTGTTTAAAACAAATTCAGATGAAAATTTTACCACGAAGAAGCAAAACGATAACTTCAATTCAGAATAAGTGTAAAGCATTTGGCTTTCGTTTCACAACAAAATTAGTTAAATCAAAAACGTTACTAGATTTCCATTATATGTATACTTCCTTACTGAAACACTAACGACTAATGTGTGGATACCTATATTACGTAACGGTAAGACTTCTTACAAATAACCACGTGCAGTTCAATAAATTTAAGAGAAGGGGGTTGTGAAAATCTGTAAATGTCGTTATCATTATGAACCTTTACAGGTTTGACGGCTACTTAAAACATGGAGGTACTGAATAGCTAGTGTGTAATAGTATAGGACTCCTCAACAATGTGCATTTACCACTCGAACCCAAAACGTTAGATCTTGCACGTGAGAGCCTAATTTCTAGATCACTGACCCATAATCCAACTTTAGTTTTGATCCATGGTATGTACACATATGGCAAGGAGTTAGACAGATCATGATAACAAACGATTTCAGTATAAAGAATACTGAAATACATACTACTAATATATTTCTTCCTTAACTCACTATTGTGATGTAAGGTTCTTACATTTTGGGATAATTTATGACCTAAAGTTATTTAATATAGTGTTTCTTTATTAAGTAACATACCATGAAACTAAAAAAATTTATTACTTGTACAAATTAGAACTGTATCATTTATAAAAGAAAAAATGGGAATAAAAGGAAATATCCTTCCGTTGTTAATAGTGTTCCTAAAAAAGTGTAATAATCATTATGAACATTGGTATTGAGGTTAAAATCATCTTTTACACATAATCTGATATTGTCAATCATTAATAGTACAATAACTGAAGTAACCAAGGTGTGTGTATGTGTGTGTGTGCATTTACAACTATGCATAGAAGTAAATTTATATTTTTTATAACAATGGGTTATATTCTTAATTAAAATGGAAATAATACTGTCATGATGAAACCTTTAAAAAATTTTGTTAAGAAGCACATTTGCTAATAGTAAAATACAAAACTTATTTGATTGATAATTGTTTGCTTTTGTTCTCCGCTAATCAAGTGATGTGTTGAAAATTACGGTGAGATTATAATTTATGAAGAACCTTTGAGCGACGCTAGAGTGACCTTGAGAGTACCCACCTAATAACTACGACTAAATGAGAGTTATAAGCCAATGTGGGGAATTAAAATTATGATTTACAGTTGTTGGTTAAGGTTAGGAATTAGATTTAGAGTTTTCATCACGAACTGATATAAGCTATAATGCCAAGACTCTATGTATCGAAAATAGATGAGTGAATTTCGTGCCAAAATCCGAAACCTGTTATCTTATACCTGATTGGTTCGTCTACAAATTATAGTCTCGCCAAAATTACTCCGACCTTTGAGACAGTCCAAAAATGTAAACATGATTTATACAGTCTAAGTATTTATTGAATTAATAATTATGCATTTCGTAAATTCAATAGTTGGAGAAAGACTAAATTGACTAAGTGAACAATTTAATTCAAATAAGTTTATCACTTCATACAAAATGAATTGTCACAAATGAAATATTTTCTTAAAATTAACAATCTATCTAAAATAACACTAACACCATTGAATGCCGGCTTAATGACCTAGAGGTTAAGCATTCTTATATGAGACTGAAGGTCCTGGGTTCGAGTCTCCCGAGTGTGGTCGTGGATGCGCGCTACTGAGGAGTCCTATACTAAGACAAAACGGCCGTTCAGTACTTCCAAATGGTCTAGCTTAGACCGAATCATAAATTCAACTGTGAATTGTTTTGTTCTCGCACACTATTCAGTGTGTGTTTTTTAATGATAATTAGGAAATTTAAGATTTACATACCCTCAATATTTATTTTATTGTTTTTCAAAGTTGTTGTCAAAACAAGACGCCTTCATGAAAGAATTAGGAAAACATTAAACTATTGATACACATGAATAAATTTAAAAATGGGTTTTATGAAGATTTTAGAAATTTCACTGGTTAAATTATCATGAGTCAATTGAAGCGAAACCACCATGGAAAACCTAAAAGCACTGGACGGCCGTTTCGTTCTAGTATGCGACTCCTCAGCAGAGCGCATCCTCAATCCCGCACCCGGCGAGATTCGAACCCAGGGCTTCATGGATTGGTTAAAGTTAGACATTAACACCGTCGGATACCGGCTCAGTGGTCTAGTTGGTTAAGCGCCTGGCGCGAGACTGATAAGTCCGTCCAGTGCTTCCAGGTTTTCCATGGTGGTTTCGCGTCAATTGACTCATGATTTCAACCAGTGAAACACATGAATAAATTTCAGAGAAGCGATTGTTTTTTTTGCTTGTTGAGCCATGATTTGCATAAAAATTCTATTGTTTCAACCGTTTAAACTATTAATAATACCGTTTAATTTTCTATAAAGAAAATGGCTTTACACTAATAATCATTGAAAGAATATCCCAGGACAAAATGTACTTCATTTACTGATTTAGCTTTGTTTGAGAGAATCGGGCAGTGCAATAGATATTATCAACAACTAAGTGACAAAATTACATAATGTTAACTCTGTCATTATAGAGTTGCAATACTGATTTAAAGCTTTGATCTTCTTAGAACATGACTAAAAGTATTCTTTTTAACGACTGGACTATTTGTAGGTGAACAGTATCTAAAAAAACATCTAAGTTAATTATATTTAAATGACACTACCCTGTTTTAATGTATACTAGACATACTCTTTAAGCAGACAGAAGAAAATACAAAAGGTGACTTTTAATTCTACACATATATACCGGTAGATTTGCATGATAGTAGTTACATACAGTTTTATGTATCGGATTGTTTTGAAAGGTTTGACAGTTCACTAATCTATTGAGTAATTGATAAAATTTTATTTCAGTATTATATTCAACACAAGTGGGGACAATCAAATGTATTTAAATACAAAATTACAGAATCATTTAGTAAAATCTCAGAACCATACAGTAAATTCTTCATTTGTAAAATGTCAATCAATCGTCTCACACTTCACTGTTTCTTCATTTCCACACCAATCATTCTCTGTTCTCATTGTCTTTTCTTTGATCTTCTTAACCTTCTACTGCCAGGTATTTCACTTTCAATTGATAGTACATACCACTTATATCTGTCGACATCAGTAACACACACCACAGTCTTCATTCGATAACTGTAAACAGGTTGAAGATTTGACATCATTCTATTAGAAAACGTAAAATTCGATCCATTTCAGTTCAATTTTATACTTTAAATCAAACTTCTATAGTTTAATAAGAAATACGTTAGGTAAGCATAAGAAAAATTGTGGATTTTTTTGTTTAAGACATAAAGTAGCTGCTATTCAATAATCGATATAATTTGGAAAAAGGATGTTAACCTGTAAATTATGAACATCTAAAATCTTTTTCTTAAAAAAAATGATAGTCTTTATAAAAGTAGATCTTTGTTTAGCAATTTGGGAAACATAAATATACGAATGAACTTTTTGAAGTAGAAAACACCAATAACAATCCAATTAGTATTGTTTACTTTAATCTTTCCATTCATGTTTAGCAATGCAATTGATCGGTCTCTTATTGGCTTACGTGCGTGTTGTGCGCATTGCCTCGATATTGATTTAAGTGGACATCAACTCTGGGATGTAGTTGCATTCATTTGACAAGTCCCGAATGGGACGAAACGTACGTCCTGGATTCCACTGATAGCCACTATACATCTTTGCTTAGAATGCTTGAGAATCAAGGCAATATCGAGGAAATACACACAGTATGCACATATGCCAATAACAGACTGATCAATTGCAGTCATAAACATCAATGAGAAGATTCAAGTAAATAATACCAAGTGAATTTAAACTCCACCCCATCGCACAAGCAAGTGGCTATCAGGACTCAGTAGCTAAGTGGATAATGTGATGGCGTTTGAATCAAACGGTACTGGTTTCGAGTCCCGGAGTGAACATCAACTCTGTGATGCAGGTACATCCAGTTGATGAGTCTCAAATAGGAGGAAACGTGTGTCCTGGATTCCACTACTAGCCACTAGCCATCTTTACCAATAACAATGCCCACAGTTAGAAATAAATGCATGTAGATCAGGTTTTTGTACATCGTATATTTCAAGAATATGTATTAACGAATAACTCAAACAATAGTTTCGCACTCAAAACTGATTTAATACGAAAAAAATTTTATGCATCTACCTTGTGTTGTACAAAAGTGTAAAAGTGTATATACTAAGGTTTATTGAAGCCTTAGCTATACGAAAATTGTTTTCACATTATTTTCTTTATCACCATTGTCTCCCTTTCACCCTCTATTTCCAGTCTAGTTGGCCTTTTATTTATATATATAAATATTCTTAACACGTATATTGTGTGCGAGTAGACTGTTCGAAATGTATTGCTTTAATATATCACGTAGTTCTAATAATCTTCGTCTTCTTATTACACTATCCAAATTTACCAAAAAGGATTATCATCGAATAGATTTTATTCTTTGAATCTACTTCTATATGTAAGCAAAGATGGATAGTGGATAGCAGTGGAATTCAGGACTCACATTTTGTCCTATTTAGGACTCATCAGCTGAATGCAACTGCATCCCAGAGTTGATGTTCACTTAAGGCAATATCGAGGCAGTGCTAACAGTATGCACA